TGTCAACGCACTCCACTAAGCTCGATTTCCCACCAACCCAAACATGCTTCACAGTTGGTTGCAATCTGTTGAGCCAAAACTCTTGGTGAGGCATTCTCCAGACCCATATCCTTCCACTGTCTGAAAATTTAGCGAATCTTGATTCATCTGAGAACAATACGGTCTTCCAAAAGTCCAGAGGCTTGGTCATCATATCACTTGCCCACTTCTTTCGTCTGACTATGTTGGCAGGTCTTAATAAGGGCTTCTGTCTAGCTGCTCTGCAATGATAACCCAATCTGTGGAGAATCCGTTGAACAGATTTCGGGCTCATCCCACCAACTTTGGCCACTTCTGTAGTCGTTAATCTGGGATCCATTTCGATGCTCCTCTTGACAGCCCTTTTTGTCCTCTCCGATGGACCAGGACGACCCAGATGCTGCTCAGTTGTTTTCTTGCCGTGTTTCCTGAACTGCACGATGATTCTGTTGACTGTCGAAAGCGGGATTTCCAAATTCTGCGAAATTTGCTGCTGACTTATTCCACTATCTGCTTGACCAACTATCCTTCCTCTAACAAAATCTGACAATTCGAGAGAACCTTGAGTTCTAAGCATGTTGTAGCACAAGATAATTAGTGTGCGGACCATTTTCATTTATATAGTGCTCTGTGAACACAAATTAGTTAGCATAAATCAGTTAAATGATGAAAAATTAGGTGTCTATTTACTTGTGACCACTCAGTGTAGATGGACCGTGCATTTGTAACGGTCAGTGCACTTAGGGCTAATTGTTGGAGTTTCAATTATACTGCCAAATACATCAAATTTATTTAGTTGAGGATTGCAGTGGTGAATGGAGCTCACAAGTCGCTAACTCAAGGTAATTTACAGTTAGAATAAAGAAACGGATTCCAAGATTAACATTGAACAAAATATAATATTTATTAAATCTTTCCACATATTATGCACCATTATTATCAATACACTGTTAATATCAATACACTGTTAATATCAATACACCGTTAATATCAATACACTGTTAATATCAATACACTGTTAATATCAATACACTGTTAATATCAATACACTGTTATTATCAGTACACTGTTATTATCAGTACACTGTTATTATCAGTACACTGTTAGTATCAATACACTGTTAGTATCAATACACTGTTAGTATCAATACACCGTTAATATCAATACACCGTTATTATCAATACACCGTTAATATCAATAGTTAAACATTTACTGAACCGTTATTTTCTCGCAACTTTACTTTTCACCTTTCAGTTAACAACCTTCCTTTAACTACATTAATTGATCAAGAGAGATAGCAATTTCATACTTACAACAGAGTTGGATTGGTATACTTCTGGAGATTTGATACCTTCGTATTCATAGAATGCCAATTTTTCCTGGAGATAACTCTAAGGAGCTCAAGAACAACTGATTTTTTGGCTCCAGACACAAGTTTTTAATCCATATTTTCTCTGTATTCTGTCGACCTTCCAAATAATATTCCTGACTACTCGCAAGTAGTTCTAAAATTTTATTCGTCGATCTGTGCAACTTCCCGGGCTAGTCCAAAACCATAACGAAAACTCTCAAGTGATTGGTTACTGTTATGGTGAGTTAGCCGGTTGCCTTCTCACTTGTGCTAGTACATCAAAGTCGTGTAAGGAATATATAATCAAAGTACCGCTTTTTTGTGTTAACATCAACTTTTTCATAGCTTTCACAGTACTAACGAGTTGGAGTCAGTAATTGATCACTGCCAATCACTTATGCTAGCATTTTTCTCAACATCTCTGTCATAGCTTTGTTTTTTATAACTCCTAACTTGTAATTCTCAATACCACTTAACCAGCTAGCTGTACTTTCCCAGCTCTTGACCTTATTTCGTAATACAGATGTCTTTTATTTATGCAATTTCTTCTTGTATATGTTCACTTAAAACTGAGAAAATCGTTATAACATCTTTCATTAACTATTTTAAAGTGATAAACATACTGAAGCAATTATAAAATTCCCTCAAAAATATCCAATTGCTTCACGTTCCTGATCAGGAAAGCCCACTAAAGAGATGAAATTCATCCAGCGAAGTTAACTTCTTTGGAAATGCAATATTTTAATCTGTGATATTCATTACAAAATGTTTCACTAAACCTGGTGTGGATGCAGTTTAAAATCTGAAAATTTTAATAATAAGAAAAAGTTGAAAGAGAGAGGGCACTGTATAGCAAAAATGATTGAAGACTAAAATCTAGGATTTCTTATATTTTATTTTCATTGAATCTCCAATTATTATTACTCTTAATTTCTTTCAGATATTCTAATTAATTTCAAGTCATTTTGATCAATTTAGTTATATTGTGCAATTTGATACTAAATTAGGCTTACTTTTGTTTGCTCTGTTGCTATAGTATTGGGCATATAGTAAATAGTAGGCCTTTTCTTTAACTGTTAAGGCTCTTAAGAAGATGGCAAAATAGAGCAATAGTGTTAGGCTTGATTACTGTTAAGGAATGGAATATACCGAACTTCACTGTATGTATATATTATTATATTAAAAGATAGAAGCATCTGGCTTACATACTTAAGCATTTATAGCTTTTGTTCTCAATGACAGATTGTAGTTAAAAATACTAATATTCGTTTTAAGTTATTATAAATATTCTAATTAATTTCAGTTTATTTTGAGAATACAATAGTTAACTTGGATTAATTTGCTTAGTTTGTTAATATTGTTATGTATCTGCTCATTTGTTAATTTCCGGTATAAATTCTTTCTGAGGAACTTCAGCGATACAAGTCCTTTCTTAATTAAAACTAGTTTATTCTTTCTCAATACAACTTTGTAATACACAGAATTTCCACAGTCAATACGTTTGCAATCTCGATAACAAAACACACACTTTATATTACCATCATTCCTGTTCGCTTGACTCAATTATCTATCTATCTATCCAATCTGTCTCCTCGATGGCTTTCTTTGCCAGGCTTATGTATTAAAAAAGAGGGTGTCTAGCAAACACTCGGACATTCGCGGGGTTCCTTGATAATTCGAGAAACTCCAGCGTCACGCGACTTCCGCTGACTTAACAATATAGTCAATTATGTTTAAAATGGTTTAAAATCACTGATGTTCGCTTGACTCAATTATCTATCTCTATATCTATCTATCTATCCGATCTGTCTCCTCGATGGCTTTCTTTGCCAGGCTTATGTATTAAAAAAGAGGGTGTCTAGCAAACACTCGGACATTCGCAGGGTTCCTTGATAATTCGAGAAACTCCAGCGTCACGCGACTTCCGCTGTCGTAACAATATAGTCAATTATGTTTAAAATGGCTATATTATTTCCTTTATCAGGGTTTTTTTAATAATATTTGTAATTTTTATTCACTTTTTATAATTTTAAATTCATCCTTGCTTACAATGTGTTCATAAGTTTACTTCAAGTGTCATAATTATTCAAAAAGATTAAAACAATGAACTTTACCGAGTTCATATGATATTGAAAGATCCAATGCTGCTAGGCCAGATTTTTTTGTTTAGAAAGTTGTTGCAATAACTGTTCAAAATTCAGTACATAATCTTCAATGTTAAGCCTTTTTGATGGGAGTAGCAATTGTTAAGCCACGAGGCAACAGACGTTTTTGTAGTCACTTAAATCACAATGTTCTCAGGATGATCAATAAAAACCATTCATAGATGTAACTATTTTAAATGACTTTCTCAACATCTCCAATAGTAATTTTGTGTAGTTTTCTAGTTAAATAATGAATGTTATCTAGTTTATTAATCTGCCCTTTTAATAATGAACATTTCTCTTATAGTTGCCTTTAATTGTTTCATGGGTTCTAATTGTTTTTTTTGAAATTTAGTAATTGTTTTTTAAATCATATACACAGTTTTAAGTGATGAAACTGGAGATTGGATACTTTAGAATGATCAAATTTAGGTGTTACATTGTTTAAGTGTTGAAACTGGAGAATGGATACTTTAAAATTACCAAATTTAGGTGTTATATTGTTTAAGTGTTGAAACTGGAGAATGGATACTTTAAAATTACCAAATTTAGGTGTTATATTGTTTAAATGTTTAAACTGGAGAATGGATACTTTAAAATTA